AGAACTGCAGCTCATTAAAAAAAAACAACAATTCATAAAAAAAAGGCAGCTCATTTAAAAAAAAAAAAAACAACATCTGCTATTAAATTTTCGATTTTATCGCCAGGTAAAATTTTCTCTGTCCTTGTAGAGATTGGAAACCTCACCTTCTACTTGAAGGAAAGGACAACAACCAACTGTGCTAGTTTATCTTATGCTTATTTATAAATAGTAAGTATGCTATCTATATGGAACAAAAATGAAGTAGTTCTAATCTGTTTTGCTCAAAAATAAGGGGACAATTAATACGTCATCAATAAATTTTCATCTTAAGGTATGACACGATGGAGGCAATATTTTGAGTAACAAGTATTAAATTTTTGATAAAAAACCATCCAGATCTCCGATTTCAGCAAGTTTATAGTCAAACTGACCGGCTCGATCAGACGGGCCTAATAATATCGAAGTTAGTCAAATTTGAGTCAAATCAAGTACAAATCAAGTGATTAAACCAATATTGAAAGATTTTCGGACGCATTTGGAAAGTTAAACAAATGTCGAATTTGGCGAGTTTATAGGGTTTAGGGTGTCTCGACAAGGTAAATCCAATGAGCCCAAGATCTCTCAATTCTAACATCATTACAATATTTAAATGTCCATTAAACATTGTCTAATTAAAGGAAGCTATCCAGACTATTCGATCAAAATAATACATACTTCTGCATTAATTGCACCTAGAATACTATAAATAGAGCTCCACCCCTCTCATGAGGGGGACTTAAGCCTTGAAAGAGAACTTGAAGCTTTGAGAAGGTGCTCAAGTCTACACCACCGCCGACCGGCGTCGACCACCATCGATCGTCATCGACAACCACCAACCTCTGTCGATCGTCATTGACCACCGCCGACCTTCGTCGATCACCGTCTATCATCATCGACCACCATCGATCGCTGTCGACCATCGCCGACCTCCTTTGGCCTTCGCCAACAGGCGTCAATCATCACCAACCAGACGCCGACAGTTGATGTTGTAATCTGAAAATATAGTTATCATGTCTCGTCTGTAGGACAAGGAATTTTTTTAATCATCGATCAATAGTGGATTTTCGCAATTGGACCAAACCCCGTGGTTTTTTCCTTTCCGAATTTTTCACGTAAAACTTTCTCGAGTCGTCAGTGCTTGTTTCTCATTCATCTGTGTGTGCTCTAAATTCTCGTATAACGCTAAGACGATAATTTGTTACTCTACCACCGTATATTTTCTAGCACGCATCAAATATATTTTAGCAAGTAATAAAACAATAAGATCGAGCCCACAAACATATAAACTATAAAAGTAATAATTTGATTGTTGAGATATGGGAGTTTAATTGAATGCATGGCTAGTACCATGGTGTGGTGTAATAATTGTATTATGGTTAATCATTTCTAATCATAAAATTGGAGTTATGTTCTTGATTGATCTTATTTTTTATGTGTAATTAGACTACTATTTTTATATCTAATGTGATCCTTAATAATGCATAAATTAAAAGAAAACATAAATGATATGTCGGATTCTATTTGTGTTATGTTATCATATACTATCACACATTATAGTATGGTCGGGCCTACGACTATATGAAACTTAAAGAATGTTCATTTAAAGATCGAGATAAGGGAATTTAGACAAGTTCACGATGAGTTCGAGGATACAACATCTGAGGTACATTATAGGATGTCATTTCAAATAAAAATGGCAGCTTATGTGTAAGAAATTTGAATATAGAATATTAAAAATAAAGAAGGCGGCCTATAACTTCTCTTCTTATTAATCTTACTATCAACTCGTTGTTATAATTAGAATATATAGCAAATTTGACGAATCACATGCCTAACTTACTCACGACATGAATATATAGCAAATTTGACGAATCACATGCCTAACTCACTTACTCACGACATATTGGTTGAGGATTTAGTTTCTCGCTGTAAGTTAGCGAGTTTGAATCACGGATATTGCACTTTGGGCACAATTTTATCGAAAAATTTTTTTTTTCCATATTATTTAGATTTTTGGAAAGACATAATTTTCAAAGCAATATTTATGTTGTTTATTATTGTTAGAAAAATAATTTTAATCTATGGATCTAACTATTTATTTGATATTTACATCTTTAGAAATTAAAATATACTGAAATTAATAGAATTGAGTAGAATAAGCCATAAGAGAAATTAATATATCATTGCATAAGTATTTCATTAAATTCGGAATGAATAAATTAATAAACAATAAATGATTTATTCATAAGCATAAATGGGTGGGTATGTGGAACCCCATTAATGAGCATAAGTTTTTCAGCATATCATAAAATTTATTTAAGCATAAATTTTTTAAGCAAAATTAAAAAAATTGTAAGCATAAATGACATAAATTTAACTTAAGCAAGGGTCTTCAATAATTCATAAGCATAAATAGAGACAATTTGGAACCCCATTAATTTTAATTTATCATTTAAGAAAAAACTATGAAAGCATTTTAAATTAATGACTTCTTTTTGGGAAAAATTATTACGTGCGGTCACCACACGCAAAATTTATTTGCAGCGTCAGATCTGGACCGTTAAAAATTTAGAGTGGGCGCTACTCTAATAAAAAAAATAAAAATAAAAAAGATGTATTTCAGTGGTCCAGATCAGACACTGCACACAAATTTACTTGCGATGTCTGTACGCAACAAGCGCCCCCTTTTTTTTGGCCCCAAAAGTAAAATGTTAGCAATTAAATAAAACATTTGGGAGAATAAATTTGGTAATTAAATATTGCATTAAATCCAACCGCAAATCAGTGTCGCCTTAGTTTTCTCCATTTATTTATTTATTTTCATTGTTTTTACATATCTAACTCCTTAACTTTACTTTTCACATTTTCATCCTCCAAATGTTTCACATCACACATGAAATATCACTATTGTAATTTTTAAAAAGTTAAATATTACATACATAGGTAAGGTGGTCTGTATGTGTAAATTGAAGTTTAGGTTTTAAATATGTAAATGATATGAATTAAATGGTATGTAAGTAAATATTCCTATTAATTGAAGTTTCATTTCTTTTTTTTTAACTTTCATGTTAACATACATAACTGTGGAATCATGATTTATCCTCTAGAGCATGTTTCGAGAGATGGAGCGTAAAGAATAATGAAGAGAGAGACAGAATAGTTTTTGATGAGGAGGATTCTTTGCGCCGAGCAGAGGGTAAAAAAAGAAAAAAAGTTTTTGACGAGTCGAAAGCTGGGGCCACGGGGTGGATATCACGACCCGCTTTTCTTCCGCTTTAGCTTCGTTCTGCCGCGACGCTGGGAGCCAAACGGTCGATTTTCGCGATTTGGTGTCGCGAAGCCGCAAAAAAGCCGCCCCAAACGGAGTCTAAGAGTGCAAGATGAACAGTTTCTAAGAAAATATTCGTTATTTCATTCATAAAATGGTCTCAATTTATAAATATTGGAGATCCTTGATAAAGTTATATTTTTAGCCCCATGTTAAAGGTCATTATAAGTCATTATTTATCTTTATCGTATCATGAGCATTACAAATCAGTTTTTATCCTCTTTGACGGCTTTTCGTAATTAAAAATTGATACTTGTGTCTATCTAGATCAATAACTGATACCGACACCCTTTCTTGTTCATAACTAATGTTAAAACATTTTCTCATCAATAACTAATATTGATCACTTTCTGTGAGCCTAATTATTTCGATCGTCATGCCTTTGAATCAGTTGACTTAAATGATTCGAGTTGGTTTCTTACTTATATACCGGTCGGCTCTTTCTCTAAGAACTTGAGCATCTCCCAGGTAGTATTCAGTCGACTCTTTGATCAGAGTGATTCTTCGATAGCTAGGCAGAAATGCAATCGATCGCTCTTTCTTCGCTCGACTATTGACCTTTAGCCGCATTAAGCACTCGAAGTCTTTTGCCAAATCATTGAATGTTAATCAAGATTGAGCAGAACACACGGTTTAAACTAAACGCAACAATATTATGAGTCTCATAGAATGCAATATGATTTATTTTTAATCCTCACCAAAAAGAGTGAAAATGTGGAGCAATTGAACATATTTCAAAATGATTTCCGATGGTCACGTTTGGCGAGAAACTCGGACCAAAATACCCGTCGATGAGTCCTAATCACTGCCCAAATTTTGCCAAAAGAACACCTAATCATATAATAAATTTAGGTCCACATTTCTGTAAGAATAAAATATGTGAAAGAGACAATTAGTAATTAGCCATTGAAAACATTCTTTTTTTCGTATAACCATCTTTGAACCTACTCAGGAAAAAATTACAAACATCCCACAAAACTTCTATGTGTCTACATCTTTAAAACATAAAGATTCGAGCATTAATATGAGGTGAAATAGGAGCGCTATTTACGTACAGAGAACGCACGCAGCTCTCAGTGCGTAACCCCTCCCAATAACCTCTGCGAAGATTATTAGGGGGTTATTGCGGAGTTATTTCAAAGTTATTTGGAGTTAGTACCCTCCACGGTTACACTTTGACATTTTCTCTAGTGTTTAGGATATTGATTCCAAATAACACCGAAATAACTCTGCAATAACCCCACAATAACTTTCGCAGAGTTATTGAATGGTTATTGAGAAGGGATTACGCACGGAGAGCTATGCGCGTTCTCCGTACGTAAATGTTTACCGTGACATAGACATGCGGTATCCACTAAAAGAAAGCCGGTTAGATGCAGTTATCATACCTTTTTAGCATTATTAACCGCACATAATTTGCATAAATCAGCTCATATATTATTAGATATATGAATAAAAAAAAGTGTGCATGAAAAAAAAAAAAACAATTTTCTAAACGTATAATCTACAAAAATCAACTTTTTTTCTGAAAATTAAGCTGAAGAAAAATGGAACTAAAACAAAAGAAAAAATTTTTTTCTGAAAATTAAGCTGAAGAAAAATGGAACCAAAACAAAAAAAGTTAAGAGCCCAATGGAGAGTGGGAATCATATTGATGGAGAATAGTCCAGACATCCTGATCTGGAAAGGTTGGCATTTACGAAAATGATGAAACACGCGCACAAAAGCTCTATTGTACATAGTCAAACAGTGGCGAATTTAAAAGGTTTTCAAAATATTTGAATTACAAAAAAGGACAAACGAATTTATGAAAAAACGACTGCAAGACTGCTCAAGTATAAAATAAGTGCTCGTGAAGAGATGCCAAATCAAACATTGAGTTGCGCCAAACTGCGTAAAGATAAATAGTTATAAAATAAGAGTAATATGAGGCTGGCAATAACATAACCTTTTTGCCCATTTGGCATCAAACTCAACATTATACTCATAAACATGATGATTGTGCTCTGTTTTGTCTTGTTGCCTTGAAGTGATATAGAGCCTTCCTTCCCTTCTCAGAATATATGCACAATGTCATACGCAAATCTGGCACGGTGTTAAGGTTCCAAATTTGCAGATTTTAAGTATGAATTGCCGAGCTCATGTGAAAAGTATAGAATAATAGTTTTTAGTTGACTCAAATTATGGAACATAGACAGAAGGGTAATGGAAATATAGGAAGTTTTTGGTTCACAATATGGTCATGATAGATTTTATAGCTGCTAGATTTGTTTTAAGTGCAATATATGACTAATCCACCAAAATCTGTTTTGAATTCAATCTAAAAACAAATCTAACGGCTTTAAAATCCTGTATAAGCCCAGCTTTTCTCCCTAACTATGTTTGTTTGGGCATTACAAAATAGGAATAAGAGGAAAGCTTCTATCAGAATTTAAAACTGCTAATAGAAAGTTGATGGAAAATATGAATGAGAAGGAACTCGGTACTTGACACTTTTATCGTGATTTTTCACAAATCATTCAATTAAAACAACTAGGCTCCGTTTAGAAGCTGGTAATTTGAGTGAAAAGAAAAGGAAATGAAACTGAAAATCTTGGATAAATGGTTCTTCATTCATGATCGGATTAAAAGTTACTTTTACTTTCAATCCAAAATATTAGCGCACCCAATGTACATATTGCGGTGAAACATATGTTAAAAGGATACGTCCAAAATAGCACGTACGACTGCAAATACATAACAAAATAGAGTTAATGTGGCCGAAGATAGAAGAGCAGCATAACTATTAAGATATTCGCAGAGAGTAATAAGAGAATAAAACGCTAAGAAAAAAATTACAATGAAAAATTTTGCTAACTTAATGGAATCCAGAAGAAGCCTATGTGTGTTTATTTTCTTCAGTGAAACCTAATTAATGTGTTCTGAGAGCATAAAAATAGAAACAAAAAAAGCAATTTTAACAATGCATCTAAATTGAATTCAGGTTTTAAAATTGTCTCCTAAACGCATGAATTTGAACATGAAAGATGACTTGAAAAGGGTTTCATAATGGGCCATGAAGGGCTTGCTTTCTAAACAAGAAAATAGCTTGAAATGATGCCAAGAACCCTAAATTGCGACAGAAAACTACGTAGCAGATAATAGCAATCGGCCTTGATGAGGGACTTCAGATTGTGAAGTGAGTTCTTAATAGATTTCTATCATTTTATTAGAAGCGAAGGTTTATATATCAGGTAATTTTCCAATAGTTTGAACAGTGGGTATGGAATGAAGGGGGGTGTCAGCACCCTTCAGTTAGTTCCACCAATAAAAGCCTTCTGAATAGGATCTTTCTGAGTTTATTCGGTGCTAGACAACTAGTGGGATGACTATTCAAACACATCGGACAAGCAATGAAATTTTATACAAAGTTTTAGAAAAATTAAAAGAAAACATAAATTTTCGTGCTTATTTTCCTCCAATGAACTAGCAATAACATATGATATATAACCAAAGCAGTTATAATAAAATCATTTTATAGTAGCTATGTACCATCAATTTATCTATTAGAGCAACAATGAAGAACTCAGGAGAGAAACATCTGGAATCATACCATGAGGCCGCCAAAAAATCCGTCGAGTACAATACTATTCAAAGAATTGAAGTAATTCCCGATGGAGAATTTAGCTTTAGCCAGAAGTCCCAAAGAAGTGACTGCCATGATTAACAAGTAAAACACAAAACCTGTTAAGCCTGTAAAACCCCAAATTCCAGCAACAACTCCGCCCACGATTGACAAAAAGGTACGACTGCAGAAAAAGAAGAACCCCTCATCAGGTTATGTTTGGATCAAAGTTCTTCCAATGAGATTATGAAACATACCGAAAGCAAGTTAGAGCTGGATAAAAGAAAATAAATCATATTTAGGCATAGTAAAGCAGGCTAGTTTCAATGTAGAAGATGACCAAAAGATGTGCACAATGCTGAAGCAGCCACTAGCTCAAATATTCTTCAGATGCCTCTACAGGTGAACATCATCTCACTCATCTTATAGCTTTATAATTAAGTTATAGTAAGCAGAAGATAAAATGCTCCAAGTAAATTTGTAGTGCTTAACATTTCACCTACAGTACAATCACAAATCTATCACGCAATTTCATTTTCATGCAAAAACCATGGATTATTTTTCACTGCATCCTGAACAACAAGGAATCAAAAGTAGATTCAACTCCCTGATTCCAACGATGGGTTCACATGGACTCTATAATGCACCCATATGGACATGGGGACAGAGATAAAGCATGCAACAGAAACCAAAACCCACAGTTTAATGGAACAAACACAGCAATTAGAGACCAAATATAGCAAAATTGAAAAAAAAAATGCATTCTCGCAAGATGGATTACAAATAAAATAGATGTAAAAAAAAGGTAAGAATTGATTAAGTAGAAAAAAACAAAGCCTCATATTGATACATGGAGATAACTCACTCCAAAAATTGATAGATGCACTAGCAAACTCAAGGAGCTCAATTACTAATAAGCAGACATGAGATGGAAGAAAATCTAAGATTGTACTAAGCCAACATGTGTCCTTCATTATAGGCACCAGCACCGGAATTTATAATGACAGTGCTAGGTCCATAATTATCCTCAGAAAGATAACAATAATTTAATAAAAGAAAGGAATCAGCCCCATAAGAGCAGGGAGAGAGATGCTAGATCCCAATGAATCTTTTAAAAAATTAATTTGCAAGGAGCTCAACCGAACCATTTTAAGCAAAACAGGACCAATCAAATTGAGCTATGAATAAATAATTTGGAAAGAAAAAATATTCATAGCGAATTTTATTGAGATTTCATTTGATTTTTCTTATGCCTATGCTCAATCCATGACCCCTATTTGTAAGTGAAGTTTGACATTACAAAATTGGCTGTATTTTACAATTATCTGAAATGAATAGGTTGAGCTTAAAGTATTTAGTCATATAGTGTGCAAGTTAGACTTGTAGCCAGGTAGCCAGTTACTAGTAAAAGGAACTGCGGTGAATTCTAAATTGACAGTGAGTACCATTAAAGAGTTCTAACAAGAACTCCCTTTCGATTGGTGAGGGTTTTGGCAAATTGACTATTTCTCTAAGATGAATAGCCTTGACACATTGGCGACATCGCGAATCTCACAAGCAAATTTTGCAATATAGTGCCAAGGGTTAAGTTAGAGTCAACTCATGGGTGACTTCTTATCTAAAATGTAGACTGGCAACTTAAGGCTTTAGGACACTAAACTCTGCAAAGTCCAAGCTATATAGGTTTAAGTACATCAGTTACCAAATTCTCCTATCTCATTCTCCTGTCTCTTTCAAAAAGCTGAGAAAAGAAAGGGAATAAAAGTATTCGCAAATCTAATTCGGCTTAAATAGCTCATGTTGTATGGATTAATCTAGAGCATTGATTCAACAAGATGCACAAATTTCCAATAATATATGATAACATCAATGCCTATAAAATAGAGATTTGTGATTCGTTTTCAGAACTTCACAATGTCTGAGCTTTACTCATCAAGCCCTTGACCTGCAATTGCTTCAAAGTTCACTTTCTAACAGATAAGAAAATTTGAGTGTGTTTGACAGGCATGTTTTCATCGATGGGTTTCAATAAAAATATAAAAATGTTGTTAATAAAAAATTTCCCATGTTCACGAAAAAATTGCTGCTAATAGAAGGACAAGGTGGAAGACTCGAAGCTTCAAAGCCATCTCCTTAGACACAAATTTAAGCAGTTTCATTGACAATCCAAATGTAAACACACCCTAAAGTTTAAGACCTTCATCTCTTAGTTGATCGTGAATCTTCCCAAAGGAAGTTGAGGGAACAACTTGCCAATATTTAGGGTGATTTCAATTTGAGGTAAAAGTGAATTTCCGAAATCACATGACCAATAATGAAGCGAGAGGGGAGCACTAATGAACTAGCTTTTCAAGCAAACACAAATGAATGCAACGTTGTCAATGAAGTGGATGTTGTAAGGAACGATTTCACTCCAACAAACGGGGAAGAGAAGATGTAAAAGAAACCTAATTCTAAAAAATTATTCTCCTTAAGTTAAGATGTGAAGGATGATAATCATTATGCTAGTGATAAAGGGATAATTCTGAAAAAAGTGGTGACCTAAAAGCTACTAAAAATGAGAGGGCTTTTGAATCCTACCACGAGTGTTGTGAATTCAGAGAGATGATTATCTCGATAGCATAGTTGTTGGCGAAATACTTGTGTGCATAATTCGCACGCAACTCTGCGTGTGTACTCCATTAACCCTGCAATACCGCCATAATAACCTATGAATAACATCGAAATAGAACCCGTGAAGGTTATTGGAAGGTTATTAGGGTTATAGGTTATTGAAATTAATACCTCAATAACCTCCTAATATCCCCTAATTACTACGAAGAGGAGGTTATTGCGGGGTTATTACGCACGTGATTCTGCGTGTGTATTACGTACGCAAATATTTCCCTATTTGTTGAGGGTAGTTCCAAGATAATAACCCTAGAGGCTTAAATTCTAGGAGTTGCTCACTAAAATCAATTGTTTGAAAAAGCTCATAATGAGTCTAAAAGTCGTTATTGAGATAAGGCAAAGGTGGCCAAGCAAGTTGAGGGCTTGATGGCTATTAAGTAAGGAATTGTCATGCTCGAAGTTTATGATCATATTGATAGTAATTTCTTTAACTAAATTGAAGCAAAGTTGAACTAGCATGCTTAGAGTCACCATGTTAAGTTGCCCAAGAAGTTTGCTAATGATATTCGTCAAGAGGTTAATATACTTAGGAAGAAGTCATCTTGATAAAATTGTGTTTTGAAACTTAAATGATGAACCAATTTGAAGCAGGGATTCATTCTTTGCCAACTCATCAAGTAAGAAGATCCCTTCCTGAGATTACACTTGATTCGTGATTTTGTTGCACGTCGCGATGGCTTTCACCATCTCTCTCAAGTTCAAAATATCTATTTTTGGACCAAATTATCGTTCATAGGATAGACTTAAGCCTTAAAGTTGTATTCATCTCCTCTATTTTTATTTTTTATGTGGCTAATAAAAAGACAAGTAATGTTAGTAAATGATGTTATACTACGTGCCTGCAATTTCTTTTATTTTGCTATGATATAATGGATTTTTCATATTCATGAAAATTTTACCTATGCTTATAAGATAGGCTTGAGAACTTCTCAAAATTGAAATTATTTGTTTTATACACTACACTTGCACATTCGAATTAAACCTCATTAGAAAAATATATCCTTCAAAAAGAAGTAGGCTACTCTGAAGTCGATCATTCATCATGAGTTGCACCTTTGCTATAAAGTCGTCTTTTTAGTGTTGAGAAATGAGTTGATACATTTGGATTTATTAAGTTGATACATATAAATAGCAAATCAATTTCAAAATTTGGTTGTCAAATCAATAGTTATGAACATTTATGAATCCATCATGCTTATGTAATATGATGGATTAAGGTTTCAATGTTTTCCAGCCAATATATAGGGTTGCCTTTTAGCATTATGTCTCTTTGCGATTTCTTAACCTCTAGCTTCTATTTCTATTTTCTTCTTCCTTACTCCATGCTCAAACTTTTGCTTTAAAGCTGTGACTTCAATGATCAAGTAACCTAAGATCTTCTGAAAGTATAATGGAAATTTAACCCGTACATTATGCTGAAGAGCATAAGGCTTCTTCGGCCAGAGCTAAAGCTTGGCGATGAATTCTCACTAAAACTATAGGGAGAAGTTCTTGTACCATTACTCAAATGACAAGTTATGCTTCAATGAGGTCTAAACTGACTTATATTTTCGAGGAGAACCTCGAGATTATGAACTTCTATGAATTAATTCTAGCTCAGATAATGTAGAATTTATCTGCTAGTGCAGTCTCCTTCATTGTCTTCCTCTACAAACAATGCTGAACTAGAATTTGAGCATCTTCAAGAACTTGTACATGGTGAAGGTTACAACCATGCTCATGTACAAAAGCATTAAGACGTATGGGCTATAGCGAAAAACATTGAATTAGAAGATAAAAAAATTTTGCAAGTCAGCCAAGGGATGGCTGATTAAGATTTGAGAGTCAGGTTTGCTACTCCTAATCTATCCTTTGAAGAGCACCAAAATTTCATAAGACACAGAGACTATATCCTTGACCCCTAGGTTTATTCATCAAATAACATGCTGGGGAACTTCCCGTCCAACCTAGTAGGCATGTAAGAGACGTGGATTTTATATCCTCTTTAAGTCCATTTTGAAAAAAATAATTAGCACCAGAAATAGAATCAAGCATTTCATCAAGTTTGGACATAAGAAATTTATACTTGAAAGTAAGTATATTGACACCATGCACTTAAACATACAACCAGTAAGAACCATTTATATATGACAAATTTCCTGAAATAAAAATATAAAAAGCAAAAATTACCTAAGGTCATCTATCCAGCTTTTAGCTCAATATTTTCAACAAGGTTCATTCTATAATGTGAAGGATTTAAAAGTTAGGGCCTTGAAAGAGAATTTATTGCATGTGAATTTGCTTCACAAAGGAAGTACATCTTGAAATTCAGCAAGAGAAACATTACTAAAACAATACATGTGAGACAATAAGGGAAAAGACAAATTAACAAAAGATGTTGTTCATAGAACATGCATCAAAATTCATTAAAAACTCTACTTTAAAAAATGAGAAGGAATTGTTTCAATTTGAGTACAAGAAAGAAACATATGTAGTAGAATCAATAACATAGATACAAGACCCTATCATACAGGAAATTGAAACAATAAACTGAAGATTTGCAAATTTTTCTTTAAAAATAATTTGGTGTGAATATTAAAACATGATTTATGAGAACACTGCTTTACGAACTTCTCTAAAGCCTTGGCAGGATATCGTAACATATCGCAATCATGTCACACAACCAACATTTTACTAACAAGATACAAGCGATGCTCATAGGAATGATATGACACCAAATATGAGCTACAAAAACGCTCATATCGCTTGATTGGCACCCAATAGCTACTAACTAGAAGGTATGTATCATGCATCATTAACAAAACTAGCATAAAAGAGATTTGAATTTAGTTTAGTTTTAGGATTTTCCTAGTGAGAGTATGGGCTGTCTCTTATAAATCCTCATCTTCATGGGCTTTGCAAACTGCACAATAACATTCAACTTTAATAAAAGCAAAGCTGTTAAAAATACTCACAATTGGTTGACGGGCCTCTTGCATTTGTGGCAATTTAATTCTCCTTCTGTTTAAAGGTTGTCTACCTAATTTATAGAAAACAAGAATTTACTTGGTGTTATTTGGCATTGCATAAGAAAGTTGCATGAGGTCCAACTAGTGGTCTCCAGTACGTCAAGTCAAGCCAGCGTACTATAGCCTCCATTTATTGAATTGCTATTTGACAGACTAAGATGAAGGTTCACGTGAGCTTTCAGGAAGCTTCCAACTCAGCAAAAAGCTCTAGCACTTGCAACATTTTTTGTATATTATAATCAATAACATATAAACTATAATGTAACAGATATATTTTACCTTATCATGTATATTAAAAATAGTGCATATGTAAGAAAATTAATGATAGAATATAACCTATGATATTATATAATCTATATAATAGCAAATCACTTGTATCAATTTTTTAAAGGTAAGATGACATGAGAGTACTGCATTTGACCACTTCGGGAAGGGACTTTGTAACATCGTACTATCTAGGACATGGGATGGAATGAAGAAGTGGCAAGGCAACTTTCACTTTACACGACCCAAATCTTTTACAAGTCCCCACAACAATTCCTAACGAATAAATCTAAAAATTATTCAAAGACTTGTCTTGTCAAAAACTAACATGTTAGTGATACTAAAGAATTTCATTGAATTCAGCTCTTGAGCATTCAGGCTTATTCAAACAATAAGAAATTCAGAATTTTTCATACAACAACGACAAGCGTTTATCCCACTAAGTGAGGTAGGCTACATGAATCTTTTGTCTACATTGAGGCCAATTGAGTGTCATATTTTCATTTAATTCTAATAAATTGAAATCATTTTTTATACAGCATGCCCAAGTCTTTTTAGGTCTTCCTTTATCTATCTTAACGTAAGCCGAATATAAAACATCTACTCTCCTAATTGGATCATCAGATAGTCGGCGTTTAATGTGACCAAACCATTTAAGACGACCCTCTCCAATCTTGTTTTCCACTAAAGCCACACCAACCCTTCACGGATACATTCGTTTCACATTTTTTCTCTAAAAGTCAAGCCACTCATCCACTTAAGCATTCTCATCTCAGCAACATTTAATTTATTTTTATGCTTCTCTTTTATAGGCCAACATTCTTCATATAGTAATAAAAATTCAAGTAACTTTTATTTGACAAGGGAGAAGAGCAGAGTTAGAGGCTGTTGAATGCCAAGTGCGCAAGAAGAAATAATGGATAAGCTATGCCAAGACCAACTCCAAACCTTATATATCAATATAATAATCAAACCGGCATATCAATGGCTTTTGAACAATTATTACGAAATTCCTAAGGAGAAAACGCGGCATAGTGGGTTCAATAAACTCAATTGAGTATGCTGATTTTGCAGCAGTTGCACATTCTTACTGTGCAGCATGAAATGTAGCAATCTTCATGGAGAACATTTTATAATTACAATGGCCAAACCCATTGTGAACCATAGAGATTCAATCTTTAAAAGGAGCTGGTAAAATTGCTCACAAATAAGGAATTTTATAGGCCAACCTGAGTTGGTGAATCATAGCCTAGAAAATTATTCATTCTAAGAAGATGGCTTCTGTGGGATGAGTATAACCATAAACTTATCATTCATCTACAAAAACTAAAATTAAATCTCTCCATTATCAATATCTAACTAAGCTCATAACAAATTTAAAACTCAAAATGACAAATTTCATTTATTCAGTCTATTAAAGTAAAACTTAGTAATAAAGCTATAAGGAAGCAACAGGTTAATAAGGATGAGAGTGAAATGATTTGAATACTAGAGTTTTCCTTCTATTATAGCTAAATTTGGCAAGTTCCTATGACATCCATGCTAACAATAAACAATCACCTAGAACTTGACGCTAAAATATTCTAGCAAGGATAAGCCCAGTAGATTATCACCTTGGACTGTCAGTTTTTTTATTGTTTACAAGCTGAAGAAAATTTGGATGATCAAGAAACTTCTTAAAGCAGGCCAATAAAAAATTCCCTAAAAGTTATATCATATTTAACACAATCTATATTAGATTATAAGAGGTGAAACAACAAAGCTACCATAATCATTTTCCAAAAAAATACGATAGTGGAATTTCAAATACATAAATGAAAGAAAATTTTCTATTTTAAAAAAACCAATAGATTTAGGAAGAAAATAGTGAGTGAGCATAATAAACAAAACAATAAAGTATATTATAGACTAGTCAAAACAATAAAGCAGAGCTATATGCAAAAGATGCATAATGGTAAAGAACTTTAGCTTTAATCAAGACATTATAAGGATTGGGTGATTTATTGCAGTGGTTTGATTAATGGGTCATTTTAATAAAAATTTAAAGACCAAGATGTTGAATAATTGGATAAAAAATAGTTTGGTTCCAATACTTAAGATTAAAAGAAATAGGAAATATTATGGTAATAAAAAAGAATTAAACTTATAAGTCATACAAAAAATTTAAGAGATACAATGATAGAATATGAACATTGAAAATTATGAAATCAAATAAGCAATTATATTTTAAGCCTCGAACCACTTTTTCGATTAAAAAAAGTCATGGGAAAAGTAAAGTAGAAAATAATGATCATATAACTTTCATTGATCTTGAAAAAGTATATGATCAAGTAAAAAAAAATGATTTGGTGTGCATAAAACACAGGTGTTAGTTAATGTTATATTGAATTCATTAAAGATTTGTATGATTGAGCATCAACTATTGATAAAATTAATTATTGAGTAACCAAATAGTTTCCAATTGCAATTGAATCATATCAAAGATCAACAATGAGTTAGTATTATTTTATGTTGATTATGAAAATGCTTATAGCAGATATTCAAAGTCGGATGTATTGTTATATATGTTTCACACATAACATAGTTCTAATTGGTGAGACTTTGATGAAATGAATGGTTAAACACTAAAATCAATAAAAAGGTTAAAATAAAGGGAGTTTTGGACAAATAGAATAAATTTTGAGTATATTATATTCAATTTTAATAAGTAAGAAATTAAAATTTACCAGCAAATAATATTAGAAGATAAAATAATATTTAGGTGTAATGGGTTTAATAATCTTAGACTCATCATACAAACATATAAGAATAAAAATGAATATATAAAATTCACAATTTAAGGATAGGTGGTTAAAATAAAGAAGTGTCTTAGGATTATGATGCAACGAGAGCCAACCATGAAGAATTGAATGCAAAAATTAAGGAATTACAATTAGGTTTTTATGTTGAATGGATTGAGTATTGGGAAGTGAAAAAATCAATAATAGATAAGTAGAGTGTAAGAAATATATATATAAGATAAATTTGTAGCAAAATTAGGAAAAATAATTTAAAGGATGACCATATTAGATTAATGGTTGTAGAAAAATCTATTAAACATAATTTGAAAAAAATTAGGCATTGGACATGTACAACCTGCTCAATGCATAAATAAAATAAACATCAAAGGATTAAGCAAGTAAATTGGTAGATTCAAGGAAACATGGATAAAATTATTCAAAATGATTTGTAAAGAAATACATATAATATCCTGGGAGATAGTAAAAATTGGAAACAAAAGAAAAATGAATATTCATAAACCATCAAGCTGGTTGGGATAAGGCTCATGACGGCAATGATGAATAGAACAAACAACAAAAAAGGAAGAAATTTGAGTTTAATATTTGCTAAGGTTTATATATCGCTATAAGTACTTCAGATAATTATATAATCATCAAATGTGAGAAGAAAATTGTTCAAAAACAAAGAGATGTAAAACGCTTTCATATATTTCTATCATTTCCAATACTCCGTCATATCCCGCTCAAATATGCTTTACAGTTCCTAATTGCCTTGGGTATATTGCAGCAATACAAAACAGTAAAGAATGAGTACAGCTAAAACAATTCCAGCAACAATATCCTAGTTTCCACCAATGAATTGCAAGGCCTGATAACTAAATATGTGCTAATCGGGGTCATCTGTAAGATGATTGCTATTAGATTGGCTCTGTGACTTTATTATGCTTGATAATAAAGCGGCGAATCACGAAAAAAATTTCTAGAAAAACATGCAGGAAGTAAAGAGCAAATTTTTCGTTGCAAAGATTCTCAAATTGCAAAATTCTTAATCTTCAAAATAAAAAATAATAACATAGCAGTGGTTGGTAGTGCGATTGCTGGATATACGATGGGCACAAATAGAATTCTAAGGGTTCAATTATAACCTGTAATAGATTGATTTCATGTTGTTCTGCAGGTTCTCGGCATGGAGGAGGGAAAGATCATCGCCGCCGTCGTTTAGTTTTCCCCCCGACGAAGATCTCGAGTCTTCATGCACGGCCATAGCAACTAAAAAAGAACAACCGGCTTAGTTGTGGGATGGAGGAGAAGATCGGCGTTACGTGCGGCGAGGAATCTCCGGTGAAGGGGATGGAGAGAGAGAGCTGCGGAGTGAACTTAGGTTGGAAAATTTACGAACTAGCTCTCTCAATTCCTACATATTTACTTATCCATCACCTAAAATTCAATTATTACATACAAGACCCTAAGCTCACATGTTTAAATTATGTTTATGTGTGTAGTTTATGTTCATTTGTGGGCTCACATGTTTAGGTTATGAATGTGTTTGGTTTATACTTACTTGCAAGTATGTGTGATGTGATTAATGTAAATTATAAGCTTTTGTATTAGCTATGTTAATTTGTAATTTACATCTATGTAGTTTATGTAAATTGTAAACCTATGTGTTTAGGATATGATCACTTGCAAGTAATATGTTTAAGCTAAGTTAATACAAACAACATAAGCCCAAATTATTCAAAATTTTAAAAATACAATTTGTTTTTATTATTACCTAATTTTAAATATGCTCAAAATTTGTAAAATTACCTTTAAGTAAGTTTAAATCGGGTTAAAATACTAAAACCATTTTCATATAAATTATATAAATTTAAATGTGCTCTAATCTTTAAATTATTTTTTATGAAATTATGTAAATTTAATTGTGCTCTGACTTTATAACCAATTTTTATATGCTCAAATCTTAAATTTATTTTTAATGAAAATTATATAAATTTAAAGGTGTTCAAAATATTGATGAAAGCTTAAATATAGTCAAATTTTGAAAGAAAAGTTAAGTAAGTTTAAGTGCATACAAATTTTAGATTACTTCCCATATAAGTTCAAATTTTTTTTTCTATTTTACATGTTTTTTTTAATATATTTCATTTAACTTACAATTTTTAAACCAATTTTTAAAAATTTTAATCCTTTAAAATTACTAAACTTTAAGCCTTTTTTTCCAATTATTTAAATCGCTTTTTCAAATTACTTGAAATCAATGTTTCAATCCACTTTAAACTTATTTTCAATCTCTTAAATCATTTGCAAATTACTTAACTTCTAAAACACTTTCAAATTTACATTTTTTAAATCAATTTTTTAATCATTTAAATTATTTTAATTTTTTTAAAGCCACTTAAAATAAATCAATCTTTAAATCATTTAATTCATAGCTTACCATTTATGATTTCCAACTCTTTTAAAATTATTACTTAAAGTTAACTTTCAAACCATTTAAACCACTTAATTTTTTTTACTTTCAAAACACTTAAATCTCTAAGCCTTCTCAGAACTTATACTCTTAAAATTAACTTTCAAATCAATTAAAATCTTTTTGAACTTTCAATTGTTTATTCACTTAAATTTTCAACCACTTAGAACTAGTCAACTTTCAAATCATTTATCATTTAAGCATACAAACTCTCACTTTTAATCTTCAATTCATTTTCAAATCACATAAAATTCCCAAATCAATGAAGTGTATTAATCATTTATGCATACACTTTCAAAATCACTTAAGCTTGTACTTTTCAAGCAAATAGTTGTACATTCTTTTATAAGCTTACAAATTGGTTTTTTAATTCTCATACAAAATCACATAAGCTTACAAGTCATCATATCTTCATAAGTATGTAAATGCATATAAAATTCAAGTAATTTTTTTATGTTTACATGTTTAGCATATAAATAAGCATGTTTACTTTTAAAATATGTCATTTCTATGCTTAACAATTAAATATTCATGTAAGCTCATTAAAATTTTCTACAAATTCTTATATATCTTCATAATTAACATTTAAATCACATAATTCCCTTACATTTCTGATACTTAAATGTTTAGGAGTATCTTTATAAACATATTTTTATGTTTAGACTATTTTTGTAATAGAAAAAATTGTTGGCTTTTAAATTATTTTTTTGTGCATCAAAAATAAATTTTAAATAAAATTTAAATAACTATTAAACATGTAAGCAAATAAAGTTTAAGTGTTAAATATGGTAGTATAAAAGAATTAAATGATATGTGAAACATTTTTGATACTACATGTGAACTTCAATGATAAAACTTCTAACAAACCAACACTAAGAACTAATGGTCTGTTTGGGTCAGCTTCAACTTATCCAACTTATGCTGGTGAGCAACTTATTTTGATAAGTTGTTGATCAATAGTTGATCCGGATAAGTTGACTGGCTATTTGGTTGGTGCATTTGGAAAACAACTAATTTGCAATTGTTTCTGGATAAATGATTATTATGCCCCTGGTTTGGATAAGCTATTTAGCTATTTGGTTTGTGTGTTTGGAAAACAGTTATTTTACAGTTGTTTCTAAATAAATGACTTTTTCGATACTGTGCAGTTGTGATGTTTACAACATAAGTGTAATGACTATACATTTGATGGTTTATAACAAAAAAATCCACTTCATAACAGTACAAAAAAGAATATACACATCACTTAAGAGTGAGTATCAAGAAACATATAAAAAAAAACATATTAAAATTACAATTAAAAGTATGATGATGTTTATTTTAACTCCTCAAATTTGTCGACTTTTCAAAATAGCTTCCGTATTGAAGTTTAACTTACACCTCACCAAGGCATTAACTATTAGGGTTTGCCCTTGTAAGGAAATCAAATCCCATAATAAAATAAATTATATATTACGTATTGAAGTTTAACTTACACCTCACCAAGGCATTTCTCTACAAAATCCAAACACAAACAATCATCAACATCCAACTGGTTCTTTTATATTATATTGATTTTTGTCATTTTGACACACCCTTTGTCCTCAAGCTTACTTTCAAAGTCACCCTCATACACAATAGATAGATTACAAGGTAATGATGCTACCTCTCATGGTGTTATATTTCCCTTTAAATAATGTATTCAATCATTTAGATGAAAATCTTTTGAGATATGTGGTGGATGACAAAAAAAAAATTATCAATAGGTTTTCCTATGCTCCATTGAGGATGGTTTCTCTCGTTATGTGAACAAGTAATTTTCACATGAACCATACTCAAGCCGTTAGATTGGTCATCCACTTTCCTCTATGATGTGACAATTACCATTTTGCTATCTTTCTTTTTTACTCGAGGGATTCAAGTTGTTTTCTGGAAAATCAATTACAAGAGTTTTTATATCTTGCCAATATAACCAACTAATCGAATTGATAAACAGTTTTAACAATGCAAATTAATTGCAACAATAGATAACTATAGAGTTAGAAGAATGGACACGCATATCAAAAGACAAGCATTCTATAGGAAATTCTTTTTAAAAAGTCATGAGTATATTGATCGGGGACATCAAACCTAAATTTAGGTAAATTCATCTATTTAGTCTCCTTCTATTTACCTTGGGATTAAACTTTAACTGCTACGTATAAAAATTTCCAAGTAATTTTTTTCCTTTAGATTAAGAATCAACTTAAACTTTTTAAATCAAACTATTTAAATCAAATTTTTCAAATCAAATTATCCAAATTAATCTATTTAAATCAAAATTTTCAATTTAAATTATTTAAATCATTTTTTAATCAAACTTTTCAAATTAAATCATTCAAATAAAATTTTTCAAGTCTAACAAATTCTTCCCAAATCTAACAAATTCAATACATTCAAAATTCTTTTTAACTTCATTCTAATTCTACATAATTTAACTTCTTTATTGATTTCACATTTTCAATCCCCAAAATATATCATATTTCTAGAGTTAGTTAATCATCTTTAGCAAGCCTTTTCCCATGACACATCATTTTTAGATTGTAAGCACCAACCCTCAAATTCCACAAATAAATCCCTCAAAATAATAAATCTAGCCATTTGAAAATCATATAATATCAATCTTGAAATGTCTAAATTTGAAATCTTAAAAAACACACGTCAAAACTTTAATCGAGAGTTTTCTATGGGTTTTATAACTGTTGAGATGTAATTAACTATTAGGGTTTGCCCTTGTAAGGATATCAAATCCCATAATAAAATAAATTATATATTTTATCCATAAGATAGATAAAATTTTTGGATTAAACCCATAAATCCTAAAGATTTTTATCATCTAAGTGATTAGATAGATTACAAGGTAATGATGCTACCTCTCATGGTGTTATATTTCCCTTTAAATAATGTATTCAATCATTTAGATGAAAATCTTTTGAGTATGGGGTGGATGACAAAAAAAAAATTATCAATAGGTTTTTCCTATGCTCCATTGAGGATGGTTTCTCTCTTTATCTTCAATAGTGGTTTGTATTATTATATATCAATTATTTACATGTATCCCTCATATATCACGATGACTTCTCATTTTTGTTAGACCTTTTCTCATCTTATTGTGGATCGGTCCACCCAACATCCTTAACAAACTGTCTTTTAATATCTCATTTAAACCACATTTAACGAGTACGCTTCAGAGCTTTTTGTTGTCAAATTTCCTTATGTTAAAAATCCTTTTTTGATTAAGTTCTCATTCAATCAAGTCTTATCATAATTTCAATAAGATTTAGATATTTGACTTCCCATTAGTGTCCTTCTTTGTACTCCAATTACAGGAAATAAGTCGTCCCCTAAGCTGATTTTCTAATTTGAAAATGGAACAAACCTAACGCTTAACCCCAAATTACTTGAAATCAAT